GGAGGGTCAGAGGGAGAAGCAGACTCCCCGCCGAGCAGGGAGCCCGATGCGGGACTCGATCCCGGGACTCCAGGATCATGGCCCGAGCCGAAGGCAGTCGTCCAACCAACTGAGCCACCCAGGCGCCCGGCCCTCCATTCCTATCCCATCATTGTTCCCTGGACCTGTGCCCAGTGCAGAGGGACTGGCACGTGTAACAGTTTCCATCTCTGCCCCATCATAACTCCTTTGTGGGGCCCCATTGTAGTTCTCATCGCTACTTTCTATGCCAGCCCCAACAATGTATCCCATCACTGCATCTATCACTGAACATCATGACTGTCTCCTTTATGAGCCTCCGTCACTGCCTCCATCCTGGTCCCTTGGCATTGCCCTCCCCTGATTTATCATCCAGGCCTTAGTTTGTACCCTGCATCTCTGCAGCTGCCTGTAGGTGATGCCAGGGCGTCTCTGGGTTGTGACCTCTTTCTTGTAAGGCAGGAGTCTTGAAAGACAAGAGACACATAACCAAAACCCAGCAAGGCAGCCCAGAGTCAGGTCAGGCGAGTACCAGAGCAGGACATAGCCCAAACTAGCACTCTCCACCCACCTTGACTGGTTATTACCAGCCACTCACCAAGTCCCCATGCTAGGTTTCCAAGCAGCTGTTGCTCTTCTGATCTGATCACGGGAGAGACACCTGGCGAAGGAGGGGTACAAGAGATAACCTTGGCTCAGTAACTGACATAAGCTGTGGAGCAGAAAGGAGCCATGGACCCATCTCTCCCATGTGTACATTGAGCAAGTGCCCATTGAGCTCCGCTGTGTACCAGGCATCTATCTTCTGAGCAGGACTCAGTGGGAAGCAGATGGACAAGGTATCTGTCTTCTTGGAGCTGACATGAAAGTGAGAAAAACTGGATAAATAAGCAAACTAATACCATATATGGTTTGGCTGGATGATAAACTGATTTCTAGTTTTGATGATGGGCTGGGGAATGGAATGCTTTACTGCATTGGGGAAGTAGGTTTCAAATATCTAGTGATGCCAGGACGGGATGTCCAGGAAGCAGTGGGATGTGCAGGTCTCAGCTCAGGAGTGATACCAGGGCTGGAGCCGTGCAGAAGTGGAATTACCACCATTAGGCTGTAGTCATCCTAAGATGGCATGCCCAGAGGAACAGGAATGGGGGAGTCCCACAGCATGAATGCTGGAGGAGGTGGCCATAGTGACACAGATAAGAGACTCTACCCCCATTCCTCCCCCTTCCATCCCAGCCATAGAGGGATGATGACTAGTGCATCTGAGGTCCCCCAGCCTGTGTCTCCAGACCTTCTGAGTATGACAAACCTCCATGTCAACTTCTCCAAACTGCACACACTGGGTGACAGGCCATTGGGGGGCCTAAAGCGACACCCCTTCTACAACTATGCCCTTTATGAGCTCGTGGCCAGAGGCAGCTGCCTGTGCCGTGGCCATGCCTCTGAGTGTAAGCCCATAGCTGGGACCCCAGCCAATGTGAAAGGCATGGTGAGCACCATGGGAGGGGCATCCAGTGGCTGGTGGGGTGGGCAGGCTGGGGGCACTGGGGCAGACTCATCTTGCCCTCCTCCCTGGCAGGTGCATGGCCTTTGCGTCTGCCGCCACCACACAGCTGGTACCCACTGTGAGCGCTGCCAGGACCTGCACCGGGACCACCCATGGCATACAGCAGAGCCTGGGCACCCTCAGCCTGCCAGGGTAGGTGCCATGCCCTCTCTGCCTGGCCATACTTGCCCAGCTCAGCCCACTCCATATCCACCTTCCTTGTTCTGCCCTAGAACGCAAGTGCAATGGACATGCCCGCAGTTGTCACTTTGACATGGCCTTGTATCTGGCATCTGGCAATGTGAGTGGAGGCATGTGTGACGCATGTCAGCACAACACAGCTGGGTGCCACTGTGAGCTCTGCCAGTCCTGCTGAGATCCCAGGGAGGATCCCCGGTCCCTTCATTCTTGCAAATGTGAGCCCTCCAATCCCCAATCCCAACTCTGACCTCGATCCTTCAGGTCCGTGGTGACCTCTGACCTAACTCTGTCCTCACCTCTGACCCATGACGCAGCCTGTAACTGGGACCGTGGGGGGACCCTGGAAGGGGGTTTGTGTGATGCCCACACAGATGAGACCTGTGGTCTCCTCTCTGGGCAGTGTTGCTGCAAAGTTCATGTCTGGAGCCAGCGCTGTGACTTCTGCCGACCTGGTCACTGTGGCCTCAGCCCCACCCAAACAGAAGGTTGTCAGCCTGAGTTATCCTGGGAGCAGACCCCAAACCCCATGTCCTTGCTCTGCCCCCAGTCACTGCCATAAGAACACATGCATGCACCTACCTCTGCAGCAGTCCCAATAGCACCCTGGGAGCCCTGTGCCCTAGCCTGCAGGTGTCGTGACCCCTGGGGCCGGGTCCCTGGCACTCATGCCTGTGATCCCTCCATCGGTGCCTGTCACTGGCAAACGCTTTGTCTCTGGGTGGGACTGCAGCTGTTGTCTGGTAAGCCTTGACCCACCTTCTGATTTGACCTTGATCTTGGGCATTGAGCTTCTAGAAGCTGATAAGTACAAGGCTATAATCAGTGTGAATGTAGACTGAGCCTTACACATGGGTTGGTTCAACTCCCTGATCTGGTTATCGGGGTCAATGCCACCTCAGCTAGCTGAACCAGCATATGCCCTCAGGTGGGAGCTTTGGGGGCATAAAAAGGAAAAGCGATAAAACAAGTTACAACAGTATTGGTTTAAAGAACTAGGTTTAAAAGTGTTTTGCAACAAACATGTTTGAAGGAACGCTCAGTCCAAGAAACAATTCCATCCCTTTTTTGCCTCTCCTTGAATGTAAATCCTTTGTTTAATTTTTACTTTAACCCCTGCAGTGTCCTCATCTTACCTCTTACGAAGTTGTGCATGAGTACCCTGGGGTCTCCTCACCCCCTCCCAGCAGCAAGCAGAGGAGCATTCAAGCCCTGTGCTCACGCCCTTTCCTCCTGCAATAGGCAGTCCCAGTACGTGACCTCCCAGGCTCCAGATCTTCCTGTCCTTTCTCCACCTACTTGCTCTCTCTTACAGCCCGAGTTCTGGGGTCTGAGCAGTGACTCTCTGGGCTGCCGGCCCTGTAATTGTGACTTTGGGGTGCCTACAGCAACAGGTACAAGGCAGGGCCTGGGAATTGGGATCAAGTGGCAAGAATCAGGAGTTGACTCTCCCTCCCTGCCCCCATGCTTGCTCAGGCGTTCTGCTGGGGAGGGCCTCTGCCCGTGCCGCGCTCACCTCTGTGGCCGCCGCTGCCATGAACTCCAATTTGGGCACTTCTGTGCTGCTTTTGACCAAGCCACTGCTGAAGCTGAGCTTGACCAGGTCCTCCAGCCAGCTGACCCCCAGTTGCCTGTGAGTGTCCAGGAGGGGTAGGGGCAGGGGCAGGAGGAAACCAAGGCTCAGACTTGGTTTTCAGGGGAGGGAGGGAGTGTGTAGAGAGAACTAGTTGGAATAAGAGGCTGAGCAGGGTTAGGAAGGTGAGAAAGTCCAGGTGGGGGTGTCAGCATGGTCAGAGGTTTGGTGTCTTAGAACCCATATTTTCAGGGCAGTGTGGGAGAAGAGAGGGCCAGAATGTTGGAGGACACTGACACCCGGCTTGCCCCCAGGGAGCCCCCTGGCCTGCTCCTGCCCACTGTACACAAAACTCAGGGACCTCTCCTGGTTGGCTCTGGCCCCAACTGGAGACAGCGTGACCCTCCATGTGCCTGCCACTCTGCTAGGCAAGCCTATTACAGCAGTCAGCTGCCCAGGGTGAGGAATCTGAGGAACAGGGTGGGGTCATAGGTCGCTAGGGTCTTAGTAGGGATGGGGCCCAAGCCCTGGGGATATGGGTCCCTGAGGTCTTGGGGTAATGGGAACCTAAGTCCTGAGGGTCCAGGTCATGGGGTGATCTGGGCCTGGGAGTCTGTGTCTCACATCCAGGCCCCAGAGGAGCCCCTGCCCTTGCAGCAGGGAGCTGGCTCTGCACCGTGGACTGGCTTGGGCTTTGCACATGTGGTTGATGGGGCCGGCCTCTTTCTGCTGGGGCCCACAGTGCCTCGTGTCATGGAGCATGACATTGTCCTGTGCTATGAGACCAAGGTCTGTGACATAGGTCCCAAGAAGGTGAATGGGTGATGCTGGGTGGTGGGCAGGGGCAGCTCTGTGACTGCTGATCCCTAACCCCAGGCAGCTGAAGACTGGCAGGCATTAGTCTGTGTTCATGCCCGGTCCCTGTCCAGGAGCACCTGCTGTGCCCATCTGCGCTCAGAGCAGCTGTTCCAGGTGGCCTTGACCTACGCACACAGGTAGGCAGGACCCTAGAACCCCCAATAGCAAGACCCTATTATGCTGCCAACACATTTGAAACAACACTCAAAGTGGAAAATCTCCAATATGGAATATCATCATGTCATAGAGCAGTCAAAACAGGGACTGAACGTAAAACATCAAGATTTAAGAGGTTGGTCTTTTTTGCATGGGTCATATGATGAAATACTAGATGCAGCAGAAATGGGACACCCCTGAGACCACATGATCATGGCCTCCTTATCCCACCCTTACTCCTTCCCTGCTCTCTGCAGAGCTGTGGTTTTATCCAGACCTTTCTGCTTTGAACTAGGGACACGCTACTCCCTGATCCTGAGGCTGTGCAGGACCAAGGGGATGTGGAGACCAGAGGGGGGCACTATCCTTCTGGATTCGCTGAGGTCCTAGGGGTTCCACCCCACCTCTGGGGGGGACAAATTATAGCAGAATGATGTGGATGCAGTAGGGCTGGGGAGTAGGCGTCGCAGAGGCCTGGAGTTGCACCAAGAGGATGGAGACAGGTGGATAGTGTAAGGAGGGGGATCCAGGCAGGAGCAAAGCACATGCGAAGGATAGAAGATGAGAAAAGGCAGCCACCAGACCTCCAAAGACATATGGGCATTGTGGGGCAGTGGGGAGCCATGAAAGGGACTTGAACAGGGAAGATTCATGGGGGAGAATGGATTGCAAGGAGGAGGCTGCTGCAGTGATTCTGAGTGAGAGGTGGCATTGCGTGGACTAGATGGGAACCATGGGACAGGAAGGAGAAACAGACTCAGAAGAGAACTAGGAAAGGGGTAGGAAGGGGCTGTGAGATCCACTACAAGGAAGGGTAGTTAGTAGGTGATAGTGAGTGGGGCTGGGCTCACTACCCTCTGCCTGCCATCCTCCACCCTCCTACTAGATTGTGCTCTTGCCGTGGGTGAAGGAGTTGCCTGGGCTGAGATCTGTGGACCCTGGGGCCACAGAGCACTTACAGGAGCTCCACAAGGCAGGCTGCGTGGAGGCAGCAAGGACTGGCCTCCCCAGCACCATGCCTGAGGTTTGTGCCCACCTTGTCTGCAGCATCTCGGCCCTGCTCCACGGGGGTGGCCTTGGTGAGTATATGTCCCTGGCTTGAGGGGGCTGCAATATAGGGGTTGCAGGAAGCACTGTGAGGTTCACTTTATCTCGCTCTTTCTCCTGCCAGCATGTGAGTGCCACCCCCAGGGTTCCCTGAACACTGTGCACCCCACTAGGTGGGCCCTGCCCCTGCCATCCCAATATCATTGGTCGTACCTGTGACTGCATGTCTGAAATATACAGCATCGGGCCCACTGGCTGCAGTGGTAAGCCTTCAGGGCCAGCGAGGATGGGTGTGGGGTCTGGGACCAATCATCTCCTTTCTCCGCATGGCTTGACGGCCCTGTCATTCCCCACAGAGTGCCACTGCCACACCGAGGGGCCACTAGTACCATTTGTAACCCTGTGAGTGGGCAGTGCACATGCCGGGCAGGCCTTGCTGGTCACCGCTGTGCCCACTGCCTCTCTGGCTGGTGGGGTTTCCCTCTCTGCAAGCCCTGCACCTGCACTGGACACGCTGAGTTGTGCCAGCCACTCACAGGGGTCTGCCAGGCTTGCCTGGGAACCACCACAGGCTGGCACTGTGCGAGGTGAGCGCTGTCGCTGGAAGGGCTGGGTAGGAATTATGATGAGTGGGCCACGTCCCATTCCATGTGCTGCTGTCCGCAGGTGCTTGGACGGCTATTCTGGAGACCCCACCCTGGGCTCAGGCCAGCAGTGCGGACCTTGCCCCTGTCCTGGGCACCCTGCTCTGGCCTCTATCATGGGATTTCCTGCCATGTGGACAGTGCGAGTGGACGTGTCCTATACCTCTGTGCACCTGGCTATGCAGGTGAGGGCTGTTTGGCAAGGGCAACCCGATGGCCCTGCTCACTTGTTCACAACCTCATCAGGTCCACGAGGCAAATCTTTGCCAGGGCCACCTGTATGTGGAGCTGCAGGCTGGGCATGTCTCCTGGAGGAGTTGCTGTTCAAGGGAGGGAGGGGCAGATGGGAGGAGCTATAGACATGGAATTTGTAAACCAGGAAGGTGGGCTGTAATGTAGCTTCTGTGTTCTCTGCCTTCTTGGCTCGACCTCAGACTTTCTGGCTGCATACATGGGACCCACAGGCCACAAGGATACAGGAAGGCACCTGAGACAACCCACCCATACCTCGATCCTTTCCGGGCCCCCGCTGCGACCGCTGTTCCTCTGGCTACTTTGGGCGCCCTTGGCCAGGGGGAGACCCCAGAAGGAGCCCGTGCTGGCCCTGTCAGTGCAACAATAATATCGGTCCCCGTGATCCTGCTGCCTGCGACGCCCACAGTGGGGACTGCCAACACTGTCTGCACCACACCTAAGGTCCCAGCTGTGCCCACTGCAGGCCTGGCTTCCATGGCAGTGCCCTGCGTCCAGGGGGCTGCCGGCGTGAGTGTGTGGCTAGGATGGGTGAGAACACCCCAAGGCGGGTGGGTGCGTTCTCTTTCCTCAGACCCTTCCTCTTCCCCAGGCTGCAGCTGTGACCCCAGGGCACTGTCCCTGCACGGTGCCCCTCTTGGGCTGAAGCCTGCTTCTGCAACCAGGTCAGTGGGCTGTGCTCTTGCCGCCCCCACACACTGGGGCAGGACTGTAGCCGCTGTGCCCCTCTCTTCTGGAACCTGGGGGGACTGTGAGCCCTGCAACTGCCATGCCCAACACACTGTGCAGCCGGCATGTCACCCAGGGAGTGAGGCCACATTGCACATAGCTTGTGGCAGTGTCCGGGTGTGAGTGAAGGTGTGTGTGCCTCTGACAAGATGTTAACTTGTGGCTGGTGTGAGTGTTCACATGACCACCAGCACCGGGGTGTGTGGCTGCAAACAGCTGTGTGAGTCTCTGCTTTTGTGTGACATCAGCTATAAGATAATGGCGGGATTTGGGGTAAGGCAGACATGAGACCACACGTACCTGACCCCACGTGCAGCCATGTGCTAGTGTGTGGGTGACCCACTGTGAGTGGGTCCCCGCAAGTGGACTGAACGTGGCAGGGGCTGGGGGGGAGGCTGAGGAGACACAGGTGAAGGGTGAGGATTGAGAGCTTGGCCACTGTGAGCAGGAGTTTCCAGGAGGAGAGTAATCAGCGACCAAATGAAACGAGGCCTGAAGTGTGTGTTCTTATGTCCTTGGCAAAGAGATGGTGGGAGGCAGGGTGAAGGAGATATCAGGATGAGACAGCGGGGTGTTCGGATCAGGACACAGAATAGCAAGTCAGGGGTTGAGAACCCAGAGGGTCTGTGGGAGGCTGGCAATGTGGGAAGGTGGGGGCTGGCCAAGGAGGTCAGGCCAGAGGAAGCAGGAAAGGGAGAAGCCTTCGGCCAAGCACAGGTGTGGATGCTGCCCAGGGCAGGAGCAGGGC